AGAGAGAGAGAGAGAGAGAGAGAGAGAGACGGATTACAATGTATGAAATAATACTTACTCGAATTGGCGGGTCGCCCAGTCTTGACGGATATTTGCAGTCTCCCATGATATCCTCAAAGGTCTCTAAAAAACGTTCGTATAGCTTCCTCTGGATGAACAGCCCAATTTGCATATCTGTAACACAAGCTATCGTATATTTAAATATTCATAAGAAATTATCTAATTTCCATGCCGTTTAAAACATTTAGGATTTAAAATAGTTTCTTCAATCTCTTGGATCTCTTTTTTAGTAGGTTTTTAAATAATACTTCCTATACGAAATTAGGTTTCTAGATATTAAATTAACAGAATTTCTTAAACTTATTAGGTAAAACGTTCTATATAAATAAAAATAACCTACCGCCCATATCAAGGAAAACTTGAATCTGACTAGCAAACAGATCATAATCATTCGCGAAGGTGGCATCATCTATTCGTGTTTGCAGAGCCTCGGAGAAATTTTGATTAAAATGTATTATACCACTGAGTTCTCCATTCCGTACCTCACGATTCGCCTCCGACATATTGTCATAATACTCCTGAAAGCCAAGTATAATTTATAATAATTTTCAAGAAACGTGATGATTGTTGCTATTGCCATTCTCTCAATTTATATCCGAATAAATCTCAATTTGCAGTAGAAAAATTCGTGAGAGAGAAGAGGGCATTATTAATTTACATTATATCGTTCATTTGTAAATCATTATACCTGTTCTGCAATAGAGTCGTCAAAATTGTGCAGAAACCTACAGCTAAGGTTGCCGAAGTGACAAGTGATATTATCTTTCCAAACATTGCCAAAATTGCTACCGTAGTCACAGTTGCCAGATTCATCGTTGACAACTCCAATCTTCAAATCCTTTGGATCATCACCAGTTGAAAACATAAAGACGCCACTTTGAATTATCGGGAATAATATTGCAAAAACTAACCCTCTGAAATATTGTATTATTATTATTGTTATGAAATGTGCAACGATTTGTGAAATTACAAATTACTGAAATATAATATTCCATATGTGACGATGTACAAGTGTAGTGAAGGAAATGGTAACATCTAAAATTGAAACAATTGCACTTTTATTTTGTTGACAAGTGTATCTCTTTTGAGTCACTGATAAGTTATTGGCAAGTACTTACGTATAATAACGAAGAAATTGGATGCCGTTCTTTGCCAATAAAGCTTTGAATCTTCTCGATCGGGAAACTCGACTTTTCGAAACCACTTTGTAATCCGAGTTTACCTTGACAATTCAATTTATTCGTATTTTATAAAAGGTTATAGATTTACACGATTTTTTATAACAGTAAAAACGTACATTTGTTTGTTGATATTTATCTTGGTCCTGATTTAAGACTTGGCTACCAGTATCGTCGGCTTTGGATTCCTGAGTTTCATTTAAAATGATTGCATTATCCTGTGCCTCGCACAGTTTCAGGAAAGCCTCCTCCAATAACGAACATTGAAACCGCTCCAGCAATTTCTGTGGTGCAGACTCCGCCAACAATTTACCACATCTCATCAAGCCGATCTGTGTAGCATTGAAGACGATAAGTACGATCGAATTTGTGATATTCGGGAAGAATTTTTTTCAAAGGTATGAAATAGTTGTTGCTTCAAAAACTCATAGAATTTTTGAACAACTTTTTTACATAGTTATTACTAATATGAGACATATGTAACAACAAAGCTAATAAAGACTCACTTTATTAGCATCTTTAGTCTCTTCAATATAATGCGTCGTAATTAACACGGTGATACCTTCCTCCTGCGTGATTTGGGTCAGGTAATTCCAAATGCTGTTAACAGAAAGTACATTCAAACATTTTCGTATTATTCTTTGTTTATCGTGTCTTAAAAAAGCAAAATCTACTTGCTTGTCCCTCAAAACTGGATCCAAGCCTACTGTAGGTTCATCTAGAATTAGGAGTTCGGGCCTGTGGATTAATGCAGCGGCAAAAGAAACTCTTCTTTGTTGACCTCCACTCATATTCTTTACCAGGCGATTTGTTGGAGGTAGCTGAAGCAACTCCGAGAAGAACTTCGTTCTTGTCTCTTAGAAATAACATAAAAAAAGCTATAGTTATTTCGAAATAATTTACAATTAGTGAAATATCTCCCACGGTTCAAAGATACCTTTATTTATAATAAAACTTAATGTTCTCATAATTTACGTAATATTTTTCGCGCAATGACTACAAGTACTACTCTTTTCCTGTTTATTTTACATCCTACCGATCTCCTCGTCGTCAAGCCCGTTGATCCTGCCGAAGTAATAAAGAGCACCGCTCACGGAAAATTCTCCGACTAACGATATCTCCTGCGGCATATAACCCACTCGAGGCCCAGGAATTCCGGAGCCATCGCTACCCGGAGTTCCCCCCAAGACCCATATGTCTCCGCTATCGAGATAGCGGACTCCAACGACGCAGGACAGCAAGGTGGTTTTGCCGCACCCGCTGGCTCCTAACAGTCCGTATCTGTTGAACGAAAAGGTTTCATTTACGATCAAGTTTAATCTTTTTCAGACAAAACATTTGGACAAATGGAATTATGATTATTTCCTTTAATCTCGCAATAAGCGGCTTTATAATCATTTACGAGTATGGATTCGCTTTTGAAACTTCGTCTTATCTGCCCATATATCGACCCACGTTCGCATCTCATCGAAGGAACAATGGCGTTTATGGTTTCCCTCGAGATAATGTAATTAGTCTGGACGGATGGCTGGCACGCCTCGTTAATAAAGTGTTGAACACAATCTCACGGTTACGATCATTAAATTTGCGCGAACATAATGTTCACTGGCAAAAGCAATTAGCGGTTGACTAGTAACAATACGCAGTGGTGCCTAGGTGACTGAACCTAAATTTTTGAAAATTTGTCTTGACAATATCCAAATGTACCTACGTGATATCATTATATCCAATCTATGTAACACAAAACCCTAGAATTTTAAGAAAAATAAAAACTTTTAACTGCATCTATATAATATTAACACACCTGTACAAACCTCTTGCAATATATTCTAAATATCAATATATTTATAATCTCGATACGTCATTTAAGAGAATATCAAATCAATTATTACATCCACCGAGATAATTAAGAAACTGCAAAAAGCTCTCTTAGGCACCACTGTACGAGTCTCGCGAAATCGATATGAAGAACGAAAGATGATAGATTGTATTCCGGTTAGTTCGGTGCAAACCGATAAAATCATCAAGCAAACCCACAACTCGCTTCAGTCTCGTCGCGGCATAATGATCATTAGAATCATTGCGATTCTGCTACTAGCAGAAGGAGTTTTCGCCTCCTTGTCGGTCCAGGGTTCGATATCGATAACATATGACAATACAATGTCGATCGATCTGCGTGCGAGTAAATCCAGCGTTAGCGATGATCTCGATCGGTTAATCGAAATATTACGAGGAATGGAGAAACCACGGGTACATTTGCAAATTAATCTGGGAAGAAAAGTTATCGAGATTGATGGCGAAACTGATCTTAAACAGGAATACTTTAGTAAGTTAACTTATTTTTAATATAGAATATTTAAATGCAATTACATTAGATTCTTTTAATAATAAATTCTTCGACCAGTTTGTCGTAAATCTTTGCTTAGCAAAAACCATTGGCATAGCAATAATGTTCGAGTTATGAACAATTAAATAGAAAAGACTTTTGTTGAAATGAACTTCAGACAACCAAATGGAAAAATATTTTTAAATTAATTTTAGATTTTCCATTTTGTGAAATCTTTTATTCCAGACGTAATGTTACAAAAATGATATGGTGCAGCAAAGGAAGATTTATAATAAATAGAAATCTCAGTGTTTTTGTTTAAAAGAGAATTGATTCTTGATATTTAAAGAATTTGTTATTAGGAAGATTTTCAATGATTCTCTGAAATATCCTTAAATGATAAAATATGAAATACTTAATAAAACATACCACATATGTATGTACAGGGTGCTACG